GGAGCCCGATGTGGGACTCGATCCTGGGACTCCAGGATCATGACCTGAGCCGAAGGCAGTCGCTTAACCAACTGAGCCACCCAGGCGCCCCGTGAGGGGTTTTTTTGCAATACCAAAAAAGAGGAAGAATATATCCTTCTTAAATGCCAACTGATAAATTTAGAAAAAAATGCCAGATAGAATGAGAAAACCATCACCCCGTCACTGATGAAATAACCGATTCAGACAAGGATCACCAATGAATGTTAAAACCCTCGGTTGGAGAGAAGCAGAATATTCATACATCTCAAAGCTTTACTTCCAGATTTTAACGAGGGAAATGTGCACTTGCAATGGAGTCATCTGACAGTCATAATCACAGTGGGGCCAGGGGACACCATGGGCCTCCCAATGTGATGGAAGAAGTACCAAATATCACCTGTGTGGTATGCTTGCCAAATATACTTACCTGAATCTAATCATGAGGAAGCAATCATCCAAGTCCACAGTGTGGGATATTCTACAAGACAATTGGCCTGAATTCTTCCCCAAAAGCCAATATCATGGAAAACCAAAGAATGCAGGTGTTCACAGGGCTGGTCTACGTGGATAAAGACTAGGGACATAGCCACACGCAATATATAAACCTTGATTAGATCCTGAATCCAAAAAATAAATAACAGTTTGAAAGATATATTTGAGACAATTGGGTTATTTAAAATATGGACTATATATTTGAGGACATTGAAGTTGCTATTCTGGATATCATAGTCTCAAGAGCGATATGCTGAGGGAGTTAAGGCTGAAGTATTATGAAATCTGCAATTGACTTTCAAGTGGTTCTGAAAAAGAATGCATGTGTGTGTAGATGAATACATACATTCATATACACATACATATTTATATAATGCAGTTAGGGCCAAAAGTTAACAATTGGCATATTTAGTTAAAGGACATATGGATGTTAATTATACCAACTATTTCTGTGGGCTTGAAATTTTTCAAAATAAAAAAATGTAGCAAAGTATTAAAAATAATAACAGAAATAATCATTTCAAAAAATAAAAATAAATACATTTTAAAAGGTAATTTGTTTTCTCCCTCTGTCTCTTCTTTTCCTGTTCAGGTACACTGTCAACTTCTTATTAATCACCACCCAACTGGGATTCTGCAGCGTTTATTTTATGTTTATGGCAGACAACTTACAACAGGTGAAGAGGATTCTTCTGGGCAGAGTGGGAGAAAAGCAGACATCCCACTGCTAGGGCTGCATTAGCAAAAGTATAGTGTTCAGATCTGGGAAGAGATGGTTTCATTTGTCATTCCTGATCAGACTACTTAGGAGTTCTCTCAGTCCTGGAAATCACTTGTTAAAAAAGAGGATTATTGAGAAGCCAAAGCAACATCTGAGGAGTGTAGCCAGGATGGAAAGAGAGGCTTGCAATCCTGTCCAATCAGAAATAATTGCGAATTTTTAACCTGAAAAGTGTCGGTGAGATTCACTTTAGGTATCTCAGGGTTGTCACATAGAAGATGACTAACTACATATGAGACAAACAAGCTGCAATCTTGCCCTCATTGCATTCCCAAGAGGCATTATGAATCAATCATAGCATTCTTTCTTGGCTTCATGGAATAGAGGGAGCATAATCGGTTTTGTGCGTTCAAACAGCTAGAACTATGGCAAGTGTTGTAGATGAAATATTCAAGCAGATAGATTTTGCTCAGTATTCAGAGCTTTCTAACTTTTAGGGCTATCTAAAGTTAGAGAAGATATTCTTGTGTAATCAACTTCCATTCTCTGAGTATATGAAAGGAAACCATTTGACAGAGAAGAAGAGGTTGGGTTAGATGACAAAAGGAGATTTTAAGATTCTAAGGGTTTCTTATTGTCACAGTCTTGGGCACCACAGTTGGGGTTACCAGATTTGGCAAAAAAAAAAAAAATACATACAACACCCAGTTAAATTGGAATTTCAGATACACAGCAAATATTTTATTTTTTTACTATGTGTATGTCCTATGGAATATTTGAGACATACTTTTCTAAAAAGTCACTTGATAATTATCGGAAAAAGAAACTTAACTGAGCCTTTTGTATTTAATCTGACAACTCTAACTACACTGCCCCTCATTATGTCTACATCAGATGGTGGAAGAAGCCCACATGACCTCCAACAACTGCCAACCCAGGAAGATCCTGGTGCTGACCCCCATCCTGAACATCCGCTTTTACATGCTGACAATCCTGCCCTTCCTGGTCCTGTTGGTGTTTATCCAGAACCTCAGGATGCTGTCCATCTTTTCAACGCTGGCCAACGTCACCACCCTGGGAAGCATGGCTCTGATCTTTGAGTATATCGTACAGGTCTGTGCCTGAAACTGACGGCAGAAGGGGTTCTGAGACACCTGGGGAAGGTTAGTATCATTATGGGCAGGTGAAGGTGAGGAAGGTCACCTGCTCTGAGCAGCCCCTGCTAAAGTGACATCCGTGAATGCTTCAGCCCCACAAGCTATAAGAGCTAGTCAACATCATCATCATCATCGTCACTCTGGATAACAGTGAGTCATTTGACAATTAGTTATTGAATACCTTCTGTGATCCAGGCATGGTGCAAGGCACTGAGATTCGGTGGTAGGTGAAACTGGTGGCATATCTGCTCTCACGGGGGTCACATTCATTCGGGGGGATAAACCTCAACTAATAACCGACAAAAGGTTGACAAGGGATTACATGTATGATAAAGAATTTTTATTTACTTGGTGCCAAGTTCTTCACATATATTAACTCACTGAATCTTTCCAGTGATACTATTTTATATGTTTTATATTTTGTAAGTACTCAGCTTATAGACAAGGAAACTGATAAACAGAAAGTAATTTTTACACTAATTCCCACCAGTTTGCCTCCCAAGCCCATGCTTTGTTATTATCACAGGCCCTGAAATTCTACCATTATAGCTTAATTTCTTTGAATCTGAAAGTCTTTGGGGCTATATTAGTTTCCTGTTGCTACTGTAACAAATTATCACAAATCTAGCCTTTTAAAACAACACAAATTTATCTTACAGTCCTGGAGGTCTCACTGGGATAAAATCAAGGTATCAGCAGGGCTGGGTTTCTTTCTGGAAGCTTATGTGAAGAATCTGTTTTCTTGCCTGCTCCAGCTTCTAGAGACTGCCCACATGTCTTGGCTTATGGCCACCTTCCATCTCCGAAGTCAGCAATTCAAGGCTGAGTCTTTCCCATACCACCATCTCTCTAGTTCTCTCTTCTGATCCCCTCTTCCACTTTTAAAGACCCTTGTTCCTACATTGGACCCACCCAGATGACCCATGATAATCTCCCTCTTTTAAGGTCAGCTGATTAGCAACCTGAATTCAGTCTGAAAACTTAATTCTCCCTTGCCATGTAACATAACATATTCACAGGTTCCAGGGACTAGGACATGGACATCTTTGGAAAAGAGCCATTATTCTGCCCACCACAGGAGTCTATTAAAATAACCATTCTCTCTGCATGCATGTTGCCGCTGTAGTAGAAGTGATGAAAAAGAGGCGTTGGAGAATGGGAAGACAGGAGACCTCAATTCTCATCCGGGCTGGGCCACCACCTTGCAGAGTAGCCTTAAGCAACTCCCTTCTCAAAATGTGCTAAATACGTGCAATGCATTCCTTAAGAAGGAATGAACTTCTGATCTATGTGGCAACATGAATGAACTTTTAAAGACATTGTGCTCAGCGAAATAAGCCAGTCACAAAAGGACAGGGATTATATGATTCCACTTATATGAGGTACCTAGAGTTGACAAATTCATAGAAACAGTGTAAAATAGGAGTGACCAGGAGTGGGGTAATAAAGAGTTATTATTTCATGAATACAAAGTTTTAATTTGGGAGGATGAAAAAGTTCTGGAGATGGGTGGTGGTGAGGGTTGTACATGAGTGAGAATGTACTCAAAGCCACTGAATTGTACACTTAAAAATGTTTAAAATGGTAAATTTTATGCTATGTGTAATTTACCACAATAAAAAGAAAGAACTTTTTTTTATTTTTTTAAAGATTTATTTATTTGAGAGAGAGAGAGAGAAAGCACAAATGGGGGAGGGGCAGAGGACGAGGGAGAGAGTCTCAAACAGACGCCCCACTGAGCATGGAGCCCAACGTGGGGTTCGATTGCAGGACCCTGAGTTCATGACCTGAGTCGAAATCAAGAGTTGGATGCTTGGGCACCTGGGTGGCTCAGCTGGTTGGGCATCTGCCTTCAGCTCAGGTCATGATCCTGGGGTCCTGGGATCCAGCCCCACATCGGGCTCCCTGTTGGGTGGGGAGCCTACTTCTCCCTCTCCCACTGCTGCTCCCCATGGTCATGCTCTCTCTCTCTGTCAAATAAATATATAAAATCTCGAAAAAAAAAAAAAGAATTGGATGCTTAACCTGAGCCACCCAGGCGCCCCAAGAACTTTTTTAAAGATAAGAAGGCTGATTTAGCTTTAGCTATCTCACAGGTGCTCATGACACCCATGATGGCAGGTGTGGCCCAGCTTTCTACCAGGAAAAGTTTGAGGATGACTCCTATACCATGGCAAAACCAATGCCCTTCTTCTACTTCCTTTCAGGAGATTCCAGATCCCAGCAGCCTCCCCTTGATGGCAAGCTGGAAGACCTTCTTGCTGTTCTTTGGTACAGCCATCTTCACATTTGAAGGCGTTGGTATGGTAAGATGGATGTGGGATTTGCGTGAATGGTCTCTGGTGCCCTCCGGGGAAGCCAGTTGTTCCAGATGTCTTAAAGTATTTATGAAAAGTGCAGGATATGATCTTCTCCTGGTGGAAAGGAAAATCAGGACTCGTCCTGGGCACCAACTGCTCCATGCACCACACTAAGCCTTGAAGACTGAGTGCGAATGTACTCATTAGTCCAGCCGGAGTAGGGCACCCCTGGCAAAAGAGAGTGGAAGAAAATAAAAAGGAGTGTGGCCCTTCCTGACCCTGGGCCACCCTGAGAAGGATGTCTGTGCCTGAGGGGGAAGCCTGCTTCTTCATGAGGAGCCACACTTCTGACTACCTCGTCTTTCTCAACCTCCTTCACCTTTAGGTTCTGCCTCTCAAAAATCAGATGAAGCATCCACAACAGTTTTCTTTTGTTCTGTACTTGGGGATGTCCCTTGTCATCATCCTCTACATCTGCCTGGGAACACTGGGCTACATGAAGTTTGGGTCCAACACCCAGGCCAGCATCACCCTCAACTTGCCCAATTGCTGGTACGTCCCTGCCTGCCTGGGGTGACGAGGGGAGTAGAGTCACGGGATCTGAGCCTGAGCAACAGAATGTGGCATTCCCTTGGGTTGTCACTAACACCATATATTAACTGCCAATATTGTTATGATGATAACAGGTAGGTTTGATAATCCAGACATTGTGCATTACCTGGTTAAGCTCTCACAATAGCCCTATGAGTCAGCATGATTATTATCAAGTCCATTCACTAGATGAGGAAGTTGCTATTTGGAGAAGCTCTGTGGAGCTTTCTCAGCTCACCTTGTTTGTGAGGAGCTGGAACTTGACACTGAACCTGTCTGACTCTATGGTTCAGAGACCCTAAAACAGAATGATCTGGGAGTGTTTGGGAAACACAAACAGCAACAACAAAAAGTATAACGCCAGAATAATGATCGCGAGTCCTGCAGATGGACCACTCCTCAGGCCCCACTTCCAGAAATGGACCTAGGCTGCCACTGTTATGCCCCAGTTGGAATTTAGTTTGAAATTCTTACATTTGATCATTCATTCACTTGCTCGTCCCCTCCTTCATCCAGCTAATGTTTTCGGGGCCGGCTCGCAGCGCTCATCAAATATTAGCTTTTGTCATTATGCTGGTAGTATACGGAGTGCACTGCGACTAAGCAATCAGTAGAGCCAAGTGTTGAAGAGCACAGGTTCTCAAGCTAGCTAAAGGCATTTGCATCCTGGTTCTTACGTGACCTTGGACGAGCAACCTAATCTTGCAGACCTCATTTCCATCGTCAGTAGAATAGGGATAATACTAATGCCTATGTATATAGGCTTGGTTATGCTCCAGTAATAAACAACTCCAAAATCTCAATGGCTGAACACACACAAACGCTTAATTCTGTGCTCATGCTACATGCCCGTTATGGGATGGCCGGGGCTCGGCTCCGCACCATCCCCACTCAAGGACACAGAATGATGACAGCTGCTCCCTCAAATGTTGCCATGGCAGAGAGTGCAGTGAATCATGCCCTTCACCGTGAAGCTGCTAAAGGTTTGCTGGGAAGTGACATATATCTCCTCTGCTTGCAATCCATTGGTCAAAGCAAGTCCCATGGCCACATCCCACTCCAAAGGGCAAGGAAGTGAAAATCTACCATTGCCTGGAAGAACAGGAAGTATTAATGAACATCGTAAATAAATGGCTGTTGCATTGTCTGGGGGCGGGGAGGGGCGGTGATTGTGAGGATTAACTGCTTTAATATATATATAGTGCTTTGAAAAGTGTCTGGGACAGGGGCGCCTGGGTGGCTCAGTTGGTTAAGCGTCCCACTCTCAACTCAGGTCTTGATCTCAGGGTCATGAGTTGAAGACCCACATTGGGCTCCATGCTGGGTGTGGAGCCCACTTAAAAAAAGAAAAGAAAAGTGCCTGGCACATAGTAAGTAGTCATTGAGTATTAGCTATTGTCATTGTTAGGTCTCCCCACAGCCTTATTCTTTCAGAGGTGAGTAGAGTGGTAGGGTATGCATTTCCCACAAGGCCACAGCTATAAAATGAGAAAAATACCACCAGCCCCACCCACCTCATTGTGTTGTGGTAATGACTAGGTGGGGTAATAATGTGGAATTTCTTTGAAGTCATAACTTACTTTATGCAAGTAAGGTATCATTCTAATATGCTCTTCCTATTCCGGGCCATTCAGGCTGCCACTGGCTACCTTGGGCAGGGCACTTTTCTTGTGGGAGCCTCAGCTGGAAAACGTGGGCATCAGGTACCATGAGAACTGCACATCTGCTCTGAACTTGGCTGGCCACCAGATTCCCCAGAGGAGCCTTAGACAAATACCCCTTCCCAGTAAGAAAAAGACCAACAACCCAAGGAAGAAATGGGCATGAGCACACAGTTCACAGGCAGATTTTTTAAATGGCATTTTATATATTTGAAAAAATACTTTGTTTCCCTCATAATAACAGAAATGCCAGAAAAAAACAGAATGACAGAGACCAACACATTTTCACACATTGTGTTTTGATAAGGATGTGGGGAAGCAAGCATTCCAATATGCTCGGACAACAAAGGGGAAATATGTCAGTAGCTAACCAAAGTTTAAATCACATATACTTTTAGCCAGCATTTTTACCTCTCAGGTTGTATGCTAAATGTGCATAGATATCTGTGTAATGGATATATTTTGTAGCATTGTTTACTAGCAAAAGACTGGGAATAATCTAAATATCCATTGATTGGGGACTGGTCAAAAAAAATTATAGTGTATCTATGCAATTGGAATACCAAGCATCTATTAAACAGAGGAGCCAAATCTATGTGCACAGATAAGAAACAATGTCCAAGAAGTATTTAATGAACAGAAACGGAGCTCAGCAGTGTGTACAGGAAGCTACAGTGTGTGTGTAGTATACCTACATTTGGTATAAGCCTTTATATACACTGGTTATTTCTGAAAGGGCTACAGGAAAATTCTTAGAGGAGCTGCCTATGGAAAGAAGAATGGGAATCAAGGGTCAGAGGAAAGCTTTTCACTGTATGACTTTTGAACCAGGAATTTTACTCTATACCGATAGAACTTTTTAGAAAGTAAAAGAATAAAAGGCACAGATGCCTGAGCCACAGACCTACTGAATCAGAATCTCCAGGAATGTGCACTTTTAATGAGCGTCCCAGGTGGCCCTGATGGCAGGTCAGGCCTGAGCCAGTGCTGTACCTCAGGGGTAGGGACCAACTTCCGAGCAATGATGAATCCTGACTGGCCCTGCCCAGGAGCCACGTCAAATTTCACATCCTATCCATCTGTCTGCAGGCTGTACCAGTCGGTCAAGCTGATGTACTCCATCGGCATCTTCTTCACCTACGCCCTCCAGTTCCACGTCCCAGCCGAGATCATCATCCCCTTCGTCATCTCCCAGGGGTCAGAGAGCTGGACACTGTTTATAGACCTGTCTGTCCGCACAGCCTTGGTCTGTCTGACTTGTGAGTAGGATAAAATGGCACTCGTCGCCCAAAGCTGTGGCTGCTAGTCACATGGGCATCTACCCCGCTATCGTTGGCTCAGCCACTTACCTTCTTTGTGACCTTGGGCAAGATACTTCACCTCCCTGAACCTCAACTTTCCACCTGAAAAATGGGCTTACACATGGAAAGTATCCATTGGCTGGTTTAGGGGAGGAAGAAGTACCATTCATTCAGCCATATTCCTACGTGCCTGCTGGGCGCCAGGTGGCCTATTGGCATTGCCTTATACTCATGACAGCCTAGCGACATAATATTACCAACTGGAGGAACGACGGTCCAGAGAGTTTAGGTAACACACTCAAATCATACAGCTGCTAAGTGACAGAGCTGGGAATTGAGCACAGGCTGTAGAGCACCTAAGCCTGTTTTCCATCGTGTGCCATATTCCTTCCTATTATAAATTAAGATCGAGTCCCTTATCATAAAGTGGCCTTGAACTATAGGAGAAAACAAGGGGCTGATTTGTTAAAGCCTTGGCGATCACTTTTTGGATGCAATCTTTTCTCCTCTCCTCTTGCCATCTTCCTTCCTTAATGCTTCCTTCATTCACTGATTCACTCGTTCATTCTACATTAGGCACTGTTGTAGATGTTTGGGAAACATCATGAACAGGGCTGGGGACTTTTTTCTCTGAAGCATGTCCAGAGAAAGAACATCAGAAAAGGTGCCTCATGAGGAAAGAGGGAAAGAACTAGGGACGTTTTGCCTGGAGAAGCAAAGGCAACTTCTCTATCTGTCCTCAAACACCTGTGGTATATTGTGCAAGAGAGAGAGAAAATTCAGTCTTAAAGATTCCAGGAGTTTAAAGTTGAGGAAATGCAGTTTCAGTTCAAGGTCTGGAGAAAGTGCGTAATTGTTGGAGCCTTTCAGCAGAAGAATATGCTATCAGATGTTATGCTTCACATAAATGGATTTCTAGAAGCAGAAACAACACACCTGCTGGTTTAAGGTATTACAGAGTTTCCGGTCTGTACCAAGACATTAGGGACCTGTAGCTCTATTGTTTTGAGATCATTCCTAATAGGAAGGGTCTAAGTTGAAGAGAAAAACTGAGTAGTTCAGGCCACTTGAGGTCAGGGAAGGCAGTGCTAGACAGAGCTGACCGTCTAATGAGAGGCCCTGTTTCTGTTATATGCCGGATGACCACTTCCTCCTCCTTTTTTCAGCTGTCAATTCCATTATCCTTCATTCATTCAACAGTCATTTGTTGAGCACCTGCTGTATGCCTGGCATTGTGCTAGGCACTGGGGATACAATGATGAATAATAAAGAAGACATGTTGAGTAAGAACTATATGCAAGGAAATAATGACAACACATTGTGATGAACGTTAAGATGGTACCTAATGATGTACCATATGATGGTTCAGATAAGAAGAGGATGCTCTGAGAGCACATTAGAAGGTCCTATACTTTAGCTGAGGCCAGATCAGGGAGTCCTCTTCAGTGGAATGATATTTCAGTTAAGACCTAAGAGATAAGGGCGCCTGAGTGGCTCAGTTGGTTGAGCATCTGCCTTCAGTTCAGGTCATGATCCCAGGGTTCTGGGATGGAGCCCTGAGTCAGGCTCCCTGCTCAGCAATGAGTCTGTTTTTCTCTCTCCCTCTGCCCCTCTGCCCGCTTGTGCTCTCTCTCTTTCTTTCTCTCTCTCCCAAATAAATAAATAAATATTTTTTAAAATGACCTAAGAGATAAGTAGAAGGTAGATGGAGGAATGAAAAATGTACCACATGTAGGAAGCAGGCTGTGCACAGATCAGAGGCAAGTACTTATGTATGGCCTCTTTGGAGAACTAAAAGCAGTGGGGAGGGATAAGACATGAGGCCAGAGGACCTGGCAGGGCCCAAGTTGTCAGAGACATTGTGCTTAGGAGATCTGGAAATGGGGAGCCATGGAAGGTCTGTGAGCAATGGGTTGGCATCACCAGATAGGATCTTTCTAGAGAACTCCTCCAGTCTAACTTGCATTATAGTTTTCCTTTAAAATATTTTCTCTGCCCTGTCAGTGTGAGGTCTCCTGGAGAACAGACAGATTCTCTGTGCCTCATCCAGTAAGCAATTTATTAAATATCTGAGAAGGGAAAGCTGTGGACAGGACCATCCCATCAGAGGGGTGACAAATTCTCAACTGCGAGAGTTGATGAGTCTCTCTCATTCTCTGATTAGATGTGCTGCAGCAATTTCAGAAAGAGGTGAGGTTTTCTTCAAATCCAGCAAGCTAGTATGAGTGCTTTCCAGGACAGTTTTTCCCTAATTTGTTCATAGGAAAATCATACCATTGTGCAAAGTGAAATCACATAAGTGGTATAGTTATTCATTCATACATTATTGAAATTGGACTCCCCTGGACAATTCATAATGTATGTTCATCATCTGTATAAAAGATGGAGATTTAAGAAAATGGTGTTTAGAAGAAATGGGGAGGGAGCAGCCTATTGCTGTCTTCATGTTTATGTTCTTTTTATTACCAGGATCGTTCTAGGAGTAGCAAAACACATAGTTGAGATTCTGACAAAAAAACCATCTCTCATTTGTTATTCATTCTTGCTTCTAGACGGTGGCTGTATCTTGTAGAGTAGTACAGATTCACAGTAGATTCAGTGTCTGAGTAAGAGCACCTATGATGTACAAGTTCTTTCATATATAAGGGAGGCAGCATAGTAGAGTGGAAAGAGCCTTAGACAGGCATTTCAATGGATTCTCACCTCAGAGAATGTGTGACCTTGGCCACATCCCATTCCCTCTAGAGCTCTAGATTCTCCCATCTCTTTAATGAGAAGGTGATAATAGATAGGTGGTAGAGGAGCCTTTCTAATAACCATTATATGAGAAAAACCCAATAGATAAGACATAAAAGGAGAGCATCTATATTGGCCTTTAAAACAGAGGGGGGAATCCAGAACCACAGTGCCTGACCTACTGCTCACATCTGCATTGGGACTCTTTCCCACATTTCCAAAATGGTCTGGCATCTGTGGGATTATAAGGCCACAAGGAAGTGGTTGGTTTCTGAACTTCCTTGCTGCAGAAACAATCAGTGATTCTAAATTTCTTCTCTCTCTGCAGGTGTCTCAGCCATCCTCATCCCCCGCCTGGACCTGGTCATCTCCTTTGTGGGCTCCGTGAGCAGCAGTGCCCTGGCCCTCATCATCCCACCCCTCCTGGAGCTCATCACCTTTTATGCTGAAGACATGAGCTATGTCACCGTTGCAAAGGACATCATGATCAGTATCCTGGGCCTTTTGGGGTGTGTATTTGGAACATACCAAGCCCTCTATGAGTTGATCCAACCCATCAACCATTCCATAGCCAACTCCACAGGTGTCTATGCGTAATTATCTATTTTTATTCTAATAGCTCTCCCTTCCTCCCATCCCCAACTTGACTGCCATTGTGGATGTTATATACATTCATCAAACCCCAACATCTCTATATTAATTAGCGGCTTCTTTATCTTCCCAAGAGAAATGTACATGACACAAGTCAGTACTCATACCTCTCAGACTATGCCTTTTTTGGTTTTGGATTTCTTCGGAGGTCTTTTGTACCTATGAACCAAAACCACATTCAACTATTTGTACCATCAGCCTCATTTACTGGGAAAAGGGATGCCATTTGCCCATGATATCCCTGGAAACAGACCAAGCATAAATGTAAATGTAAAAGCAATTTTTTTCTCTATTCTACAGTTGCTTCTCTTAAAGCATAGGATTTAGAGAAGTATATGTTGGGCAAGTGAGGTTTTCTATTCGAATATTCTTCTAAGTGGAAGAGTCACAGAAAGAACAAAAACAGAACTTAGCAGTAATTTTATCCAACCATTTGGCTCTGCCACTAATTTCCTATGGGATCTTGGGCAAGTTCTTCCCTCTCTCTGTCTCAGTTTTCCCATCTATGAAATGAGGGACTGGAAGAATTGGTTTGTTAAGGATTCATCTAGATCTAACATTCTGAAAGTGAATTACACTGATTTCAAATATTAAACCAAGAAATTAATTTATCCTTTAACCACATGTGAGAAAATCAAAGTGTTTGCCATCTAGCAAGCCACAGTATTGCCCTGGAGATATGGGCCTACCAGAAGTAGGGTAAGGGATACAAACATATTTCTTAGCAATCTGTTATTATGGTGACTTCCCTACCTAGAAGGACATTACCTCTTTCTCTCTCTCTCTTTTTTCTCTCATATCTCAAGGCCACTTAGAGCTATTTAGGCTGAAGAGGCTGTGCGATTTGTGTGAGAGAGGATTTCATCATGTGCAAGGACTACTGACCTACTTAAAAAAATTATACCGAGTTTTGGGAAGGGTTTTGAAAAACAGACAATCTTGTACTCTGCAGTTGGGAGTATACATTGTAATGGCTTTTCTGAGGGATACTTAGTGGCCCTCTGACCCACTAATCCTGGGAATTTATCCTAAGAATATTTTGTGTTTGCAGAAGTTTATGCAAAAGGAGAGCTTGTATTTTTTATAATATTAAAAAGTTGGAAACATCCAACATTAGGTTAAATTATGACTCATCCAAAATAAAATGGTGTGATGCCCCCACACACTGCAAAAATGCATCTATTGATAGGTAAATATATTTGTGATTGATCAGTAGGAAAAAGCTGGTTTATTAAAAACGTGCGAACCAAAACTAGACAAAGACAGTATGAGAAAATAAAGCTACAGATCAAAATCTTTCATGGATATACATGTAAAAATTGTAAACAAAATTTTAGCAATTCAACAATATATTAAAAGGGTAATACATCATTGCAGAATGGGATTTATCCTAGGAATACAGGGTTGGTTTAATATTTGAAATCAGTGTAATTCACCGTTATTAACAAACTAAAAAAAGAAATAAATAATCATCTCAATAGACACAGAAAAGCATTTGGCAAAATCCAACATCTACTCCTCATATAAAACTCCCAGCAACTAGGAATAGAAGGGAAATTTCACAACTGGTAAAAAGCATCTATGAATACATATAGCTAATGTCATACTTGATGGAAAAAATTGAATGCTTTTCCTGTAAGAAAGATCAGAAGCAAATCAGAGACATCTATTCTAGCCATTTCTATCTGATATTGTGTCAGATATCTAGACAATTAAATTAGGCAAGAAAAAGAAATAAATGGCATCCAGATCAGAAAGGAAGAAAGAACTGTCTTTATGAAGATGGCATGATACCAATGTAGAAAACCCAATGGAATCTACAAAAAAGCTACTACTAGTTGGTTTACAATGCTTCAGGACACAGGGTCAATATACAAAATCCAATTGTATTTCTCTGTACTAGCTGAGAACAATAAGAAATTGCACTTATAATTGCATCAAAAATATGCAATAATGGGGGATAAATCTGATGAAAGATATGAAACACCTGTTAAAGACTATCATATATAATCTTTATAAAGACAATAATATATTGCTAAAAGAAATTGATGCCTAAATAAATGGAGAGATATACCTTGTTCATGACTCAGAAGACTCTTTGTGGTTAAGATATCAATTCTCACCAAATTCAGCAGGCTTTTTTTTTTTTTTTATAAGCTGACTAGCTGATTCTAAAATTCATATGAAAATGTAAAGGACCTAGAATGGCCAAGATATCTTTGAAAAAGAAGAACAAAAATCGAGGGCTAACACTGATTTCAAGAATTATAACAAAGCTATAATAACCAAAACTGCATGGTGTTGGTGCCAAGATAGACAAGTAGATGAATAGACCAGAATAGAGCCCGGAATAAATTCTACCCATATGTGGGCAACTGATTTTTGACAAAGATGCAGAGGCAAAGTAGTGGGGAAAGGATTGACTTTTCAAGAAATGGAGCTACAAAAATTGGATATCAATATGCAAAAAAAAAAAAAAAAAAG